AGGGTTGAGGGTTGAGGGTTTAGAGGGTTAGGGGTTTAGGGTTTAGGGACCGAAACTTAACTCTTCGACAAGGACCAAGTGGTCCCATGATCATTTCAGTGGCTCTCGTCGTGCATGGGCCATGACTCCGAGACCCCAACACAAGGTTTAGGGTTTGGGGTTTGGGGTTTAGGGTTTAGGGTTTAGGGGGTTAGGGGTTTAGGGTTTAGGGCAAGGCCTTGTACAACTTCCTAAGACGACCTTCACGAAAGCACTTAAAGACGCTTCTAAGCCACAATCGAAACCCTCAACTTCCAAGCCTTCACCATGAGGCTTCGCTGGAAAAAGCTGTTTGCTGGTTCTTCGGTAGCCCAAACCTTCCTGTGAAACGTAGGAGCCTCAATGATTGGAATCTGGTTTGATGGTAAACTGTAATTACTAAGGGCAAAAGACGGATGTTGGTCCTAATTGCCCCGACATCTTCACCTGAATCGAAGACGTGCTCCTATGCTGTGGTGCCCGCAACATTTACATCTGAAGCTCTTGCGCTGACGGCTCAAGAGCTACAGTACTGGGATTTAGTTGTAGCATGTATGTGTCTACACACAGTACATACACATGTATGTGTATGTGTGTGTGTATATATATATATACATTATGTATACATATATGTATGGAAATTGTGTATGTGTGGGTTTTCTATACATTGCATACACGTGTATATAGGGACAATCAGCGGATATCATTCCTTCATTATTCAGACCTCTGTAGCCTCGCACCCTCGCTCAAGCCCTATACCCAAATCACCCTCCAATCATGGAAACAAGGCGGCTACCAACCCTAAACCGATTAAACTACTAACATTTTACATATTGTTTACAAAGCCACAAAAGAATCACATAATGGAGGAATCCCTCAAGTCCTAATACCCAAAACTCTTCAAACCCTACAAACCCTAAAGCGCTAAACCCTAAACCCAAAACCCTAAACCCTGAAACACTAAACCCTACACCAACACTACAGGCTCGCAGGAAAGTCACTGATCTCTACTGGGATGCCCCGCAACCTGCTGGCGCTTGGCATCCAAGTCTCCCAGCCTCTCACTTGCGATGGGTTCGAGGGGGTTTCTGTAGTGATTCGCTACAAGGGTTTCAGCAAACACTGGCAATGACGGCCATGAGAGAGGGAGGAGTCTTGAAAAGCACCGAAACAGAAGCTGCTGAAAGTCATATCTCGGGTAAGGATTTAGGGTTCAGGGTTCAGATTACGTAGGCGGAGGGCCACTGAGCTACATAACATATGGGTAGCAACCTACTGTTAAAAAGAAAATCTGTCAGTAGATATCCTAAACCCTTAAACCCCTAAACCCAAACCCTATCATGTGATGCCAAACGCCCTTGTTCCTAAGGCGCCAGCACCAAGGCGGCCAAGTCGTTCACGGGCACCTGGGACCAACAAGCGGAAGACACGATCGAGGGTTTTGGGGTTCGGGGCTTTAGGGTTTAGAGTTCAAGGTATGTGGTTCTGGTTTAGAGGTTAGGGCTTTTGGGTTTGAGTGACACGAGGACGGAGGGCTTTCAGAATTCGAGTCTGAAGCTGTGGCATCGTACATGAAACGATACGCGCGCGCGCCCTCTCAGACGACCGGACAGGAGAATAAACCTTCGTGTGCGTTGTGTACGTTCTTTCTAGCTGAAGCGATGGAACAAGGTGCCTAAATCCCAACACCCTAAACCCAGAGCCAAACCCACCTCAGTAAACCCAAGCGCAAAGAAAAGTAAAAACCAAGCTTCCACTAGTGTGTGTCCGGGGTCACACGACAAACAAAAAGGCAGAGTACTGCCCCAAGAAGATGAAAAAAACATGAAACCAGCAACAGCAACAACAGTGCAAGACCGTATAGACGATAACCAGCAGAGTAAAGGCAAAGTGCTACGAGTACAGCGATAGATGCATTCAAATTTCATGCAGAAAGCCATGCACGTCAATAAGGCAAGCAACAACAAGACCACTAAAAAGAAGAAGAATGCCCCAAAACCCTAAACCCTAGACCCTTACCCGTAAACCCTAAAGCCCCTCCGCACCCACCCCAAGCCCTGAAGCCTATAGACTCTCGACCGGCCCAAACCCTCCTTCTTGGGGGTTACCTTAGAAGATCCCAAACATGAAGATGGCGAAAAAATTAACATGTTGAACTACAAAAGTTGACCATAAGTAAACTCTAACCCCGACCTCCAAACCCAGAACCAGCCTAAACTAAACTGCATCGCGACCTAGACCGTTCCGTCTAAGCCCTATAAACCCCAACCCGGAACCCTATACTAGTCCCTAAACCCTACAGCCTATAAACCCTAAACCCCTAAACCCTATACTAGACCCTTAAACCCTAAACCCTAAACCCTAAACCCTAAATCCTAAACCCTAAACCCTAAAATCTCCTCTAAGCCCTTAGGTAAAGCAGCCACGAGACGGCGCTGCGGCCCTGCGCGAAGTGGCCGAAGAGAAGCTGAGACTCGTGAAAGCCGCGACACAGCCCCTGTGACGAGGGTTAAGGTTTAGGGGGTAGGGTTTAGGGTTTAGGGTTTAGGGTTTAGGGTTTAGGGTTTAGGGTTTAGGCCCAGCATTCCACTGCAAGTACTGTAAGATGCGTAGATCTCTAAATTAGGGTCCCTTTTGGGCTCCGTGCCGTGCTATATTGGGTACCTAATTGGACCCGAATTTAGAGAACTAGCCACATAGGGGCCTGAATAATTACCTAAAATATCTTGTGGGGGGTTCCTTATTATAGTTATACTGTAAAGGACCCCAAAGCCCCTATTCTAATTATGGAGGCCCCTACATTAGCACCGCTAAACAGCATGCTTGTAATCTCACGAAGTCAGCAGCAATTACAACAAAAATCGTACTGATTACTCCGCACAGAACATGTCGTAGTGATCCTAGGCTAAGGGACGTTAGGCATGTCGAACAAAACAGGACTGCCAGGCCTGTCGAACAAAACAAGACTGCGGGGGGTTGCTCGTTAGCGTTTCAGGATTTGGCGTGGCAGTGCACCTATATACATTCTGAGTATGATGTATGCCCCCCCCGCTGATTCTTCAAGTACACGTTCCATGAAATCCTGCCTGCCACGGCCTAGATTTGCCTTGCGAGTGCTGGCTTGGTTAGGCATTCGCTGCATGCAGAGCAAAGAGATGAATGCCCCCGCCTCACGCAGAGACACGTCACGGAATGTGTCGTAGCTCAAGACCTCCTCCCCAGGCCTCGCGAAACGTCCAAATGCAGTCAGCCAAGCCAGCAGAAGCGAAGTGAGAAACGTCAACTCATAGTCATCGTCGAAGTATCGAAGTCACTGGGTAAACGGGCAGTTATCTGATTAAGCTCCCGGTTGCAGCAGCACAACCCTCTCGCTTTTTCCTCTGGTGCCAGATCCAAGTGGTGCGTGCAGAAGCGGCGGAGCTGCTCCGGGGAATGTGTCACCATGACCTGCAGAGTGCAGGCGATTGCCATCACAAGTGCAGATGGTGCTTTCCTTGTTGAAGACCGGACTCTCTCAAAACAAACTCCTTCATAGCGCAAGACGTTGAAGCCACACCGGCCACACCAGTTCGCCCTAGCACTGAAGAGACATATGCGAGTATGAGGCTGCGAACCCCAAAGGCGAAGGACTTTGCAAAACCCGAGCCGAACACGAAATCGACACCCAAAAACCCTGAAGCAACAAAAACTCCCAAAACACATAAAAATAGACTAAACACAAACCCTAAACCCTGGAACCCTAGACCCTTAACCCTAAACCCTGAACCTTGTAAATCCGAAACTCTCAAACCTGGCATCTTTGTCAAGCTGCAATGGGAACCCGGCTCGCCGCTAAGGATGCCTGCTCCGCACGTGGCTGGCTGGGTCGCGAAATAGTATGTGTGTATATATATACATACATACATACATACATACATACATACATACATACATACATACATGTATATGCATATATATATATATGTATATATATATATATATGCATATATGTACATCTATATACACAGACCTTTTGTGTATGTGTGTTTGCGCAGGTGCATATATACGTATATACGTATATATGTAGATATATATATATATATATATATATCTACATATGTATATATGTATATATGTGTATGTATATATGTGCATATAAATGTGTGTATATCTATACAACATACACACATGCAATATAAGGCTATGATAAAGCGTTTCAGGGGCTTTCACTGGATGCTATGGGGTGTGCACGAGGTTGGCCGGGATTCTCGAAACTTGGGTTGCCTTGTGTAGGACTCCGTACAATTAGAACCCTCAACTGTCTGGCCTGTATGTACACCCCTTCTGCCCTGATCATCCTAATCGCTCTGGGTTTCGCCAGTCTTTACTGGGAGACCTCGCGATAGTACGATGCTTGTACTACTAGACGACATGCCCTGACATGAGAGTGTTGCAAGCAAGACACGTGCTACAGATGGGAAGAGATGCCAGCAACCCAAAACCCTGAAGCCTAAAGCCCTAAACCCACTTAAACCCTAAACCCTAAACCCTAAACCTCAAACCCTAAACCCTAAACCCTAAAGTCTCTCCGTCACCGGGGGAGGATCTCCGAGGCTACTTGTACGAGACTTCCAATACGACACGGCTGCTTGAGACTCAGACCCTTTTGTACGAAGGATGCCTCGGAAGCGTCGGTTTGCCACCTACAAAGAACGCCGCCCCGCCCCCCCTCTCTTCCCATTATAAACTAAAGCGAACCACACTCATCTCACCCAGACCAATCCAATTCTGCATACCGTCCAAGTTCACCCGGCACCCGGTGTTGGGTTTAGGTCTGGGGGGGGGTGTAGGGTACCAACAGCCCTTTCTAGCGTTTACAAAACTCCCCCAGCCAGACAAACAGCCTGAGCTGATGAATCCTTGCGCAAAAGCGGTGGAACTCTCCACAACACCTCCCAATCGCCGAAAAAAAACCTTTGCTGACACTCTTCTCAGTAGCAATCTCAAATGTCCCATAACCCTAAACCCTAAGCCCCTAAACCCTGAGCCCTAGGCCCTAAAACCCTAAATCCTACAAATTTAAGCGGAAGGGCCAGCCATGGAGGCCTCCACGAGCTTCTGAGTGGCGACGTCGAGGCCCGAGATGGCTTCGTCCAGGAGCAGCACCTTTGGGTTTTTGTTAGGTGGTTTGGGGGCTTGTGGAGGCTTTTGGGGGCTTTGGGGTTTAGGGTTTAGGGCTTTTGGGGGTTTTGGGTGGCTTTTAGGGCTTTTGGGGGTTTTGGGGAGCTTTTGGAGGCTTTTGGGGGTTAGGGTTCAGGGTTTTGGGGGTTTTGGTGGGCTTTTGGAGGCTTTTTGGGGCTTTGGGGTTTGGGGTTTTGAAGGGTTTGGGGGGTTTTGGGGGTTTTTAAGTTTAGGGGTTTAGAGTTGGGTCTTACGGTTTAGGGTAGGGCTTAGGGGTTCAGGGCTTCAGGGCTTATGGCCATAGGCTATGGGGCTTTCGGGTTTTGGGATTGCCTTCGGATAAGAGGAGCTGCGGAGCTTGGTCAGCAAGATCGCAGGTTCTGGCTTTTTTGGGGGGGTTAGGGATTCGGGTGAAGTAGATATTTGGTTGAACGTATCCCGGATTACCGGGTCATGGAGTCTCGGAGACTCATACCATCCGACAGTACTACGAAGACCAGGGTTTAGGGTTCAGGGTTTAGGGTTCACAACACGAAACGACCCTGAGCTCGACTCCTGCGTGAGAGTCGGCTGTCTGTGTACTTGGACGAGGGCACCTTGCTTGTGCGGCGACTGCCGCTACTCCCACTTCTACAATGGTGGCGAGTCCTTCTGTTTGAGGATGACAAAACTCGTGAGATCCCATATGCGTGGTTATGGTCTATGAAAAGCAGTCGGGATCTCCAAACCACCAGTACGGCCAAAGATGATGGTGATGATGATGGTGGTGGGGATGACGCTGGCGATGTCGATGGTGGTAGCACCACTCATGACAGTAGCAGCCGTCGTCGTCGTGGTCGTCTCATCAATAGCTCGTCGGCAATGGTAGAGGCAAGGAGGAGCCAAATGTCTAAGTGCCACAAGAAGAGCAAACCGATTCAGTCCCAAATCCAGAAAGTGTAAAGCCCTACACCCTAAAAGCCCCAAAAAACCTGAACCCTTAACAAGTCTAAACCGCTAAAAGCCTCCAAGCAGCCCTACAAAAACCCTTACGAACTCTAAACCGCCATAAAACTTCCGTGCCCTTTCTTTCTCCGCGCCTGGGGCTGCGTTGCCAAAGCCAGGGCTAGAGCGACGCGCTGCGCCTGGCAGTTTGAGCGCTTCGAGGGCCTCAGGGCTTAGGAACACCAAACTCGAAACCCTTCAAGGGCCTTGGTTGGGGCTTAGGAACCCTAAACCCTAAACCCTTCAAGAGCTTAGGGCTTAGGTTTCGGACTTTAAAAACCCTTCAAGGGCTTAGGCCAGGGTGCAGGGCTCGATTTCGGAGAGAAGACTGTACATGTTTGTGGTTGTTAGGTTGATGATGGCTATGTACTGGCTTACCCCTCAGGGGCATCTACCGTCTAATCGCGCGTTCCTTGCACCAGGAAGCGCAACAGATTGACGACCCCTAATCAGAGGACAGCCCCTCTGGTTTAAGCCCGTGTAATCCTATTGCTTGGACGGGATGTTTAAAGGCTTAGAATCTTAAAGATTCACAACATCTTAAGCCCTAAACAACCGTCAACAAAAACCGAAACCCTGAACCCCAAACCCTAAAGCAGTACTGAAAAAGTCCTGAAAAGACCCGGCAGCCTCTGGCTGCCCTTCGCCTGGCCACATCCCCCCAGCAAGAACAGGCTAAACCTCAAATCCCAGATCGCTACACAAAAAAATGCGATAACTTACTACCCTATTCAGAGCCTGTCAGGGCTACTATGGAAAACTCCATAGGACCTCTCCTCAACATCATAATAACAATAGTCAATAATATAAGCTTTAATCACTACTCAACAATAAGAACAACAACAATAATGCTAAGCATAATCATCATTATTGTCATACGAATAATCAAGAACCCTAAACCCTAAACCCTAAACCCTAAAATCCTAAACCCTAAATCCTAAACACCTGAACCCAATCTCTCCAGAGGCCCCCAAGGCTGGCACCTCACCGCCCGAGAGCTCCGCCCAGGGCCTGTCAAAGGCGCCTCGAAATTCCCCGAAAACTGCGACTTTGGTGATTTGGGTTTAGGGATTTAGGGATTAGAGTTTAGGGTTTAGGGATTAGGGTTTAGGGTTTGGGGTTTAGGGTTTTAGGGTTTAGGGTTTAGGGTTTAGGGGGTTTTGAGGATTTGGTGTTCAGGCTTTGGGGTT